GGCTAAGACAGGATGGCTTTGGTGAATTCAGGTCAATTGTAGGCTCTTTAGGGTGTTCAAATCCAGCTGATATACATACAGAAAGCTTGTCTCAGTAAAACAAAACAAAATAAAACAAATAAAACCAAACAAAACAGCTGAATGGAGACTGATTTCTTAAAATCTTAAATCCATATCTTGGTCATTAATTTTGTGTATATACACATTTTTGGAGACAGCAAATTTGATGCTAGATTGCAACTCAATGTTAATGTAACAGCCAAATAGGAGCACTGATTCTTGTGCTGAGTCACTGCAAGATTCACTGTATACTGTCTCTAAAGCAGAGCTCACAGTGAGAAGCCTGCAGGACCAGCATCCACAAAGCACAGCGGCAGATAAATATCTCATCAATAGACTAGGAAGCCAAGGAAGCACATCCCTCCCTGGTAAGCAGTGGCAGTCTGACACATGCAGCCCTTCCAGGAGGAGAACCAGCAGCAGCTCCTGAGATCTGCACCATGTTGGAACTTAGGACATTGTGAAACCAAACAACCGGGCTGCCTCCCTGCTAAGCAATAGTGAACCTACTGATGCTTGGCCTAGAATCAAACATCCCACTTCCCCTAGCCCTCTTCTCCTGACACCCCCATTTGCAAATGCTATCCAGAAATCTGAGTGTCTCCTGGAAGTTGACCATAGCAAAAGGGGGACTTCCTTCTACTATCTCTGTGAAGGCAAATATTTTTATTACTGTTTTGCTCTATTCTTATTAATGGTACTGCTCTATTCAATATTGTTTTAATAAGTTCTATAATGTTCTGTATTTCATCTAATTTTGATATATGTAATTGAAAGAACCACTATTATAAACATAATAAAATATACTGTGATACCTATTACATTTATCCCAGTAACCTGCTGTGAAGTTCTATACAAATTTCACTGTATGATCTTAGTTGGCCTTATTCTGTCTTGTTCTGTTGTATTTTACCACTTTCAAAATTAAAAAAAAGAAAAAATATCTCATCAACCCCTTCGATAGACTACAGATGATGTCTCTTGAAATCTGATTTAGGCCACTGAGTTCTTTGTTCTTAATATACTTAAGCAGCATTTTGATATTTGAATTTGGTTTCATAGGACAAAACATAAATAACATCAAATATGGTACATAAATAATAACTCAAATGTTAGTGGAAAACAGCTGTATTTTAAAAAAATGTGTATAAAATGAAATGAGGACCAAGCTGTAAATTATACCTTAGTGTGAAAAAGTGATCACTTTCCATTCAGATATAAGAAATATATCATGGGAGACTGGTGAAGGAGTTCTTCCTTAAATTTGGGGTATCCTAAGTTACAGGGCTTTCTAAAATAGAGAAAACCTGACTGATACACCCTACAGAAAAAGTGAAACTTGAAAAGAGACTGCATAATTCAACTTTGGTTTGTTTTAAAAAATTATAGCCATATGATAGAGAAAATTTCCAACAATATTCAACATTTTCTGAGGAACAATGTAGATATTTTCCACAGAAAACACTTTCAGAGCTGGGTATTTATCTCAGTGGCATGAAAGACTGCCTGGCAAGCCTAGGTCATGAGTTCAATCCATGTTTAAAAAAAAATTCAAATTTCATCTTCATGACAATGGGGCATAATTAGAGATAATCAAAATTAGATCTCAAGTATGGAACACAAAATTCATGGGTTCACAAGGATGTGGAATACTGATTTTTGCCACAGCTGGTGTTATTTACCTCAAAAAAGAAATCATAAGCCAACTTTAACTTCATACCTGCTCTAAGAACTATCTGACTTTCAGTGAAGACCCTCTCGGTTGTATGGAATGCTGCTGACACCCTGCATCATACCAATCACTTCCACATCCTTTCCACACTGCTCTTATCCATCGTAAGCAGAAAACCCTTCATGCCTACCTATTGATATCCCTGCAAATTTTCTATTTAGGTCTTCTCCTTTACACAACTTAGTAAAGTCTGTTGCAGAGCATTTCCATATTTAAGCTGTCTATGATAAAACAAGCTACTAAATCAGCTCTTAATTCAGAGATGACACCCCTCTTCCTTTCCATTCATAAGGATATCACGTGTATATGTCCATGCAAATGCCTAAGTTTAGGCATTTTTCAATGAAGATTTAACAGATAGCCATTTTTAGAATTTGTCCTTTGTAAATTTTTACCCTGTCCTTGATAACACATTCATATTTGCTTCATTTTTCTCAGACTTCAAAACTCTATGGCTGTTCTCACAAACTTGGTCTCTGCACAGGGGTGGAACCCAAATAATTATGTTCAGAAATTATTTTGCACTGTTCTGTATAATACACAGGATGTTACCAGGTATTTGGGAAGCCTTTCTCCACTGAGACACATTATTACACATCTCTCAATTCTCAGGACTTTGCCACTACCTGTCATGAGGATGGGAATATGAGGACATACTACAAATTAAGGTGATCACTATAAATACTAAAAAGCCTAACTTTAAGTTGAGCCATTGGGGCTATGAGGCCCTTAGTTATAGACATTAATGAACTTTGGACATTAGAGATCTGCTGCTCACATGAATGAGAACAGAGACCTAGCTCATTAGTGCTCTACAAGCTATAAAAAGCATCAGAGTAAGGGTCTTCTCAAGCTCCTTCCAATGCCTAAGATGCTGGAGTTTCCAGGCTAGCAGTGAATTTCAAAGATGATACTTGAGTTTGCTGCTGTCATAGTAAAGCCAGGGTTCTGGGGACAACAAATCACCCTTGCTAAAAGCAAGAGGCAAAAGGGACAGTAAATGACCCATGAACAATGTTGGAGAACATCAGGAGCTGTAGCTAACTAAATACCTGAGTCTCCAGACACTAGAACTACTCCTAAACACTTGTAACTGGTTTCACCCAATCCACATTATTTCTGGGCTCCCATCCAAAACCTCACCATTCCATGGCTCCAGGGTCTCTCAGGTTCTTTGCTAACCAGGCCACAGAACATCGAAAGTACTAAATGAGACCCAGCAAGTGTTTTGCTACCAGTATTGTACTCAGAACAGGTAAATCATGGTGAAACATCAGAAGAGACAGCCAGCAATGGCCTACCTGATTGAACAGTTCATATAACCTACCCCTTCATCACTGATTGATTACTGCTTTACTGCCCTCCTTCTGACTCAAGAAGAAACAGGGAAAGGAACCCCACCCCGCAAGAGAGGATCCCAAATGATAGATGGCAGTGCTGAAACTTCTGGAGCTGCCATTCTTCTATAGTAGTGAACTCAGCTCGACAGAGGAGTGTTTGTACTGAAGATCTTTACCTCAGGCTTTTCATTTCCAAATCCATTGTATTTCAAGGAAAAAAGGACAAATCAACTAAAAATAAATTTCAAAACATGTCAATCAGGGGGCAAAACTGGTATATACATTGCATATTGTCATCCCCAGATCATTCACCCAGAGAACAAGACATCTGTAATCAATTTTGCAAACAATACTGTTACAGGCAGCTGAGTTATTTAAATACAGGGCTAGGTTCTCCAAGGAGCCCATGCAGGATGCCAGATAACTTGCAACTATGGGCAAGATAGATGTATCATGCTATAGTCCTAGGCTCAGGACAAATGATAGGCAAATTCACCCATATTCTAAGGATTGATAGTCTAAATAGTTCCATAGCACTCTGAGGAAGTCAGAAGTCATCATTGAAAGAAATGTATCCTTATCCTAAAGCCTGATATTCTAAATAATTCCTATCATCCTGATGAACTCAGGAGTCACCCTCCCAAACCCCTAAGGGCACATTCACAGCTGCCTAAGAATACCTGCTTTCTATGTGACTCCCTTGCCCTTTGTTCCCAATTTAATCAACTTTACCTGAACTTATAATCTTATTGGCTACCATAGCTCTGTCCCATCTTACGCCCCTCTGTATTGTGAGTTCCTAGTTTTCCTCACCTTAAACTCATATCACCACATGATTTTAGCCTATTAAGGTCCCTAGAAATGACAGTGTTTGGCAACCTGTTCAGGACCCCTTCTCTCTCTCTCAGGCTGCTTTCTTTTTCTCAATAAGTATGTTCTTTCCTTAATCTCTGTTGTTCCTAAAATTCATTCTTTGACTTTAGAGAACACAAACTCATATCAGACATGGTAGACTGGAAGATTCATTCCCCTATAGCAATATCAGTATAAATTTTTCTCTTTCTTGAAGTCAGAGAAATCAGTAGTAGTTTGTATTCTATAATACTGATCTCACCTTTCCAGGGATACTTGCATTGAAGGGCTTTATCCCTGCCTTAAAGTGTTGCTTCTGTTTTCTGGAAGTGAACTGATCTGTAATTTTGGTTATGGTATCTAAAATGAATTAATGAAATGACAAAATATTTCTTATGATTGGTTTACCACCAGCCATGGAGGAAGACTGAAAGCAAAAATTCTTTGTTTTGCTTTCTTCATTCAAACCAAATGGTGTACTTGAGTTTTGCCCTAGAAACAATTACAAGACCTCATGGTGGTAGTTCAAGGTGCAAGAAGGTGAAATCAGGGATTCTTACCCATATGCCAATTCCAGGTTTTTCCTTGATTACAACTTCCTCTTTCTTTCCCAGGGCATAAACAAAATTCCCATCACCCTCTTGCATAACATCAATGTCCCCTCCAAGCACTACAATCCAGTCAAAATTCACATATACCCCATAACCCCACAGTCAGTCAGAAAAAAAAAAAAGCCAAAGCCTTGGTGGCTGTGGGCTCCTCTCCACATTCTTTAAATAAAAGGCCACTGTTACATTTTTTATCTTATGCTTCTCTATTGTGCTAATTTACCTCCTCAGTAACTTCAGTAATATAACCCACTTTAAACATATCTCACATGATTTTATTCTATAGAGTCCTTAGAAAATACAGAGTCCTTTGCTACTGGCTCAGAACCCCTCCTGTTTGTTTCAGACAGAACATTTCTGATAGGATTTTTGATGTAGTAAAGAAGAGAATATAAAAATAAAAATTACCTTTATTCTAAGACCATGGAGAGAATCCCATTACCACTGGGAGTCTGGCATTTTCCTCTGGAAATGTGTGGGGGGCATACATATAGTTTTGACTTGGGTGGTGCTTAAAGGTGGCATTCCTGATATGCAAGTAGCTGATTGAGACTCTTTTCAGGCCACAGGTAAGTTGCACAGGGGAGGGAAAGTGACCTCAAGATAAAAGTCCCCTGGTTTCACATCCCACTGCCAAAAAATCCTATTTAGGGCAAAATACTTTCACTTTCTTTGTCTCAATATCTCAATAAATATATTCTGCTCTTCACTTCTGTTGTTCCTAAAATTTATTCTTCCATTTTAGAGAACACAAACTCATACCAGACATAGAAGTTCAGGAATTTCATTCCACTATATCACAGTATGGCTTCCTGTATTTCAAACTAACTCAGCTGCCTGTAACTTTAAGAATTGTTTATCAATTTCACTTGGAATAATTGCAGCAAATATAATGTTCTTAATGGATATAGAGAAATATATCATTAAATTGAAAAAATGATTATCACAGATTTTCTACCTAGCATCAATCAACATTTTCAATTTTTTTTTTTTTTTTTTTTTTTTTTTTTTTTACCGGTACCGGGGATCGAATTCACGACTGCCTGCTTGCAAGGCAGGTGCTCATGCCACTGAGCTAAATCCCAGCCCCTCATCTTTCAAGTATGTGGGAAAACAAAAAATAAACACAACTTTGAAAATAGCAATCCTATAGGGGACAATATATCATTCACTGTAATTGCCATGTTATCTGTAGATATTTTGTAGACCACAAAAGAAACATTGAGTCTAATAATTAACAAGTATCTATTTTAATAAATGTCCTCATAGTACTGCATCATTGACAACTGTGAATTTTTTTTTTTTTTTGTATAAGGGATTGAACTCATGACCTTGTGTTTTCAGGGAGCTCCTTTTACCACTGAGCTAAATCCCAGCCCCAAAAACTTTAGATACTAAATATGACTATTAACAATGTTTAATTTGCCAATGACATATTTAGTTATAAATTTTGTAAACCTACACTTTCACAAATGAAATTATTTTCTTTAGTTGCAGTTTAAATTACTTAATTTTTTAGGTACCAGGGATCAAAGTTACAACCTAGCACTTTCTAAGCAGGCATTTCTGCCTGGTAAGCTAAATCCCTGGCCTCTATTAATGAATATTTTTGATTGTATAAACACCACTTTATCCATTCAAATAGTATTGTGATTTCAGTAAAGGATGTCAACCTAGACAGAAATTGATATACAATCAAGAGGAACTGGAACCTCAAAGAGTCAATGCAAAAAACTAAATACAGCAATCACTTCTACAGGCACAGCTGAAGAAAGCCAGACCTGAAGGTGAAGATGCAGTGACAATGTCTACATGCTCCTGAAGACAAAAGAAACAGCTTGAAATGTGCTACAGTTACCACCTCCTCCAGGAAGGCCTGATAGGCATCAATTACCATACTCAATGACCAGAGCAACTAGACAATTGTTCCCACACAATGCCTTGGCTCTTTCCACATACCTTTTAGGGGTGACTTGTTCCCCTGCTGAATAATATTAGTTAAGCAGCTATAAGCTTATAGGTTGATTGTAGTTTGAGACCCACACTGTAGCCACATTGCAACTTTGCTGTATAAATGACCCCTCACAATAGGTCTGTGGCCAAAACACTGAAGACCCCTCATGAAAATTCAGGGCTATTCTCTCTTTTTTTCTATGAAAATTTTTGAATTTCTTTTGGTTTGTGACTTCATTCCTCAACGTTGTGAGGCAACAATCAACAGCAAACAGGGCAGGGTTTTATTTCTCCTATTTCAAATTGAATATGAAATGTCTGCTAAAGGCCAAGTTTCAAAGCCTGGAATTCAAGCTGCTTGTTTGCCATGAGATTAACATTTCCAAGAGCTTTTAGAAGTCCTCAGTCTAGTGAATTGCAGATGTCTTGGAGGAAAGAGGTCACTGTTGTGCTTTAGCACAAAAGGTGCCATTCCTAAGTCTGTTTTTGTCACTGCCTCCTGGATGCCACTACATGGCCTTCTTTCCTCTGCAGCATCATTCAATAAATCCCATTTTAGATAAGTCAAAACTTTCACTCAGCTCTATTATTGTTTTTTTTTAAATAGTCTTTCTCTCTCATTTGTTGTTTATTTTTTTCATTTTATTTTTATGATTTAAAGACTTAGGCTCACTTTGGAATTCTGGCCAGCCTTGCACTCACTGTGTAGGTTAGGCTACCCTTGAGTATATGGCCATTCTCCTGTTTCAGCTTCTTTATTGCTGGGGAAAAGAGGTGGGCATTATAACACATGGTGTTTTGTCTTTTTTCTCCTCTCCTTTTCACTATTATTCTTTCATTTCAGTGGCATTGGCATTTTATCCTGGTGTTTGCTTGTATCAGTAAAGGTTTCTGCAGCTTGAGTTGACTTTGTGAACAACAATATTGGAATCCAAGCAACACAATTGAGAAATGTGGAATTTCATTAGCTGGTCTCAGGACCACTTGTATACAGAACCCCAACCCCCATTTCAGGATCTAAATGAGAGGCTTTAAACTGGAAAGTTACAGATGTTTTATAAGATACAATCACAAAAAAGATCCTGTTGGAAATCATTTAGCTAGTCTCTTATAATAATTTTTGGATGACAACAGTATTCTGCTCCTTTTGTTGAGCAGGTTAATTTTTTTCTTTCGGTACAGCTAGTTTTGCTTTTCTCCTGGGACTTCAACCCAGAGTGACTTTCCATTTTTGTGGGTGAAATACAGGGCACTAGTTAAATGCAAAGCTCAAGATGGCATCTATTATGCCAAGCTACAATACAGCTAAGTTACAGTGCCAAGCCTCAATATTTTGTAGGGTTAAAAAACACATATCTATAATCCCAGCACTCAAGAGGCTGAGACAGGAGGGATGCTGTGAAGTCAGGGAAATTGTAGGCTCCATGGGGGTTCAAAACCAGCTGATAAACATAGAGAAAGGCTGTCTCAAACTAAACTAAACTAATTCAAAACAGATGAATGGAGACTGAATTCTTCAAATTTTAATTCCATGTCTTAGTCCTTAATTTTGTGTATATACACATTATTGGAGACAGCAATTTTGATGCTATATTGTACCTCACTGCTAATGTAAAAGACAAACAGAAGCACTGATTCTTGTACTGAGTCACTGCAAGAATCCCTGTCTCTAAAGCAGCACTCACAGCGGGAGCCTGCAGGACCAGCATCCACAAAGCACAGAGGCAGGTAAATACCTCCTCAATCACTTTGATAGAATACAGATGATATCTCTTCAAATCTCATTTAGGCCACTGAGTCCTCTGTTCTTAAAATACTTAAGCAGCATTTTGATACTTGAATTTGGTCTCATGGAACAAAACATAAATAACATCCAATATGGTACACAAATAATGACTCAAATATTAATGAAAAACAGTTTTATGTAAAAATGTATAAACAATGACACCAGGTCCAAGCTGTAAATTATAGCTGAGGGTCACGAAGTGATCACTTTCCATTCAGAAATATATCTTGGGAGGCTGATGCAGGAGAACTGCCTCGAGTTTGGGGGTAGCTTAAGTTACAGAGCTGTCTGAAATAATGAAACCCTGACTCAGACACCGCTCAGACAAATTGAAACTTGAAAAGTGACTGCATAAGACACCTTTGGTTTGTTTTAAAAAATTATAAGCATACAATATAGAAAAATTCCAACAATATTCAACACTTTCTAAGAAACAACGTTACTATCTTCCATGGTATACAGAAAACACTTTCAGTGCTGGGTATTTAGCTCAGCGGCATGAATGCCTGCCTGGCAAGCATGAGGTCATGAGTTTGCTCCCTGGTACAAGTAAAACTCCAATTTCACCTTAATGACACTGGGACATAATTAGAGATAATCAAAATTAGTATAGAACACAGAATTCATGTTTGGACAAGGATGAGGAATACAGATTGTTGCCAGAGCTAGCGTTATTCATCTCATGGAACTAATCAGAGCACAACTTTATCTTCATACCTACTCTAAGAACTGCCTGACTTTCAGTGAAGACCTTCTCTGTTGTATGTCCCACTACTGGCACCCTGCATCACACCAATCACTTTCACATCTTTTCCACGCTCCTCTGATCAACCCTAAGCAGAAAACCCTTCGTGCCTAACTATTGATATCCCTGCACAATTTCTAATTAGGTCTTCTCATTTACACCATTTAGTAAAGTTCATTGCAGAGAATTTCCATATTTAAACAATGTCTACGATCAAACAGGCTATTAAATCATGTCTATTCAGAGATGACACCCACATTCCTTTCAATTCAGAAAGATATCACTTGTATATGTCCATGCAAATGCCTACGTTTAGACTTTTTTCAATGAGGATGTAACACTCAGGCCTTTATTGACTTTGTCCTTAGCAAGCACACTTTACCCTGCCCTTGCTAGCACTTTCACATCTGCTTCATTTTTCTCAGAATTCAAAACTCTATGGCTGTTCTCATAAACACAGTCTATGAGCAGGGGTGTCTCCTAAATAATTAAGTGTGTTCACAAATTCTTTTGCATGGTTTTGTATGATAAAGGGAGTTCACCGTGTGTTTGGGAACCTTCCTCCACTGAGGCACATCACTAAACATCTTTGAATTTGCCACCACCTGTCATGAGGATGTAAATCCAAGAACATACTATAAATTTAGGCGATCAGTACAAACAAAAAAATTTAAGGAGAGCAGTTGTGGCTATGAGGTGCTGCATCACAGACATTTATAACCTTCTACCTTCCAAATCTGTTACTCACAAGAATGAGAGCAGAGACCTAGCTTATTACAGCTGCACCCAGCTCGAAACCACATCGGAGTCAGGGTCTCCCCACACCCGTTCCAGAGCCCAGACTGTTGGAGGGTCAAGGGCAGCAGGCAATTTCAAAAAAGGCACTGTGGCCTGTGGTGTCACAGTGCCGACAGCGTTCTAGGGATCCAGAACTGTCCTGGCTCCAGCGATAGGTAAAAGGGACAGAGGACTCACTGTTAGCCTTAGAGGACCTCAGGGTCTGAAGCTAAGTAAGCACGCTCTAGACAGCACAGCTCCTTCTCACCACTTCTAACTGGTCTCAACCTGCTTCCACCCCATTTCACTGCTGCCATCCCGTAACGTCACCATTGCATAGCTCGGAGGTCTCTCAGGTTCTTTCTAAGCAGTCCACAGCAAATCGAAGCCGTGAAACGCAGTCTAGCAAACATTTAGCTCTCCCTGTTTTGTTCCAGACATGCAATGGACGCCATGACACCGGAAGAGACCGCCTAACTTGGCCCGCCTGATTGGACAGTTCATACAGCCCGCCTCTTCAGCACTGATTGGCTCCTGCTCTTCTGCCCGACCTCCCAACCAAGATTAATTACAGAAAAAAAAAAAAAACCCAGCCTGTAACTGTGGATCCCCAATGAAAGATTGTGGAGACTTCTGGATCGGGCTGTCTTCTGCAGTGCTGACTTCAGCTCCTCAGATGGGTATTTGCACTAAAGGACTTTACCTCAGCCCTTGTTTTTACCCCCAAAAGGATTTTATTTCAAAGATAAAAAGTAAAAAAATGTGGTCCAGGGGTTTAGCTCAGCAGCATAACCTGGGAAGCTAGAGATCATGCATTTGATTCAAGATCTGGCTACTGCAAACTGTGCTGCTATAAATATGGGTGCACATATATCACTGTGATATTTTTAAATCTTTGGGGCAGATACCCAGAAGGGGAATAGCTGATCTGAGTGGGACCTGTAGACCTAGTTTCTGTGGAATCTCCACAATGATTTCCACAGTGGTTGCATTACCACCAACAAAGGGGAAGGGATCCTTTTTCCCCCACTACCCCTCCAGCATTCGCTATTGGTTGATTTCTTGACAGTGGGCATTTTTTTCTGAGGCAAGGTGAAATCTCAGGGTTGTTTTAATTTGCATCTGTTGAATGACCAGTGAAGTAGAACGTTTTATCACATATTTATTTGGGGTTTCTATTTCTTCATCTGAGAACTGTGTATTTCTTCTCAGATGCACATTTTTGGATTGGGGCATTAAATATGGAAAGACTGAATTTTTTTTTTAGTTTTCCTATGCTCTCAATAGTAATCCTTTGTCTGAGGATCCGCTGACAAACATTTTCTCCCCCGTTGTGGGTTGTCTCTTCACTCTGCCAGTGGTTTCTCTTGCTGTTAAAAAGCTATTCAGTAGGGTGAGATCTCAGTTGATTCTGGGTGATTGTTCCTGTTTAATCCATGTTTTCTTCATACAGTCTTTACTTACAGCAATGTCTTCTAGAGTTTTACTTTATCTTCCAGAAGACTTAGTATTTCTGTTGTAATATAAGATCTTTGATCTATTCTGATCTTAGGTTAATACACGTTGAAAGATATGGGTCCAGTTTTAATGTTCAGCATGTGTAGAGCCAGTTTTTTCAGCACCATTTATTAAACAGGCTGTCTTTCTTCCAGTGAATGTGTTTGGCACCTTTGTCAAAGATAAGATGGTTTAGTGTGTCTGGGGTTGTTTCTCCATCTTCTAATCTATTCTTTGATCTTTGTGTCTGGTTTTGTTTTGTTTTGTTCATTGTCAGTACCACAGCTTTTTTTTTAATCACAGTAGCTTTATAGTATAATTCCAAGTCAGTGATTGTGATGAGCCCTGTCTTTTCTTTGTTGCCCATGAGCACTTTTGCTATTCTAGGTCTCTTCTGGTTCCAGATGAATTTTAGGATTTATTTTGTATAATTCTGTGAGATATGCTATTGGGGTTTTGACTGGGATTGCACTGAATCTGTACCATAGTTTTGGAAGTATGGTCATTTTCACTACATTGAATTTTCCTACCCAAGTGTATGAGATATCTCTCCATTTTATAATATCTTCTTCAATCTTTTTTTGAGAGTACTGTACTTTTCATTGTAGAGATCATTTACATCATGTGTTAGATTGATTCCTAAATATTTCATTTTTTTGGATGTCATTCTAAAAGGTATTGTTTCCTTGATTTCTCTTTCTAGGAGTTTGCTATTTGTGTATAAGAAGACTATGATTGTTGAGTGTTGACTTTGTAAAAAGCTATATTATTGATTTTGCTAATTAAACTAGAAGTCTTTGGGTGGAATTTTTAGGGTCTTCTGAGTAGAGTATGGTGTCTTCTGCAAATAATGATAGTTTAACATTTTCCTTTCATATCTTTATTTCTTTTATTTCTTTCTCTTGTCTCATAGCTCCAGCTAGTTTCCAGGACTATATTAAATAAGAGTGGAGACAGTGGACATTATTTTTTTCTTCCTGATTTTAGAGTGAAAGCTTTCAGTTTTTGTCTACTTAGTATGAGGCTGACTGTTGGTTTGTCATAAAAGGCTTTTGTCAGATTGACCTAAATATCATCTCTCCCAATTTTTGTATGGTTATTATTCTGAATAAGCGCTGGACATTTTCAAAACCTTTTTTCTGCACCTATTGAAATGATCAAATGATTTTTGCCTTTGGATTTTTCAATACGGTGTATTATATGTATGGATTTATATATATTGAACCACCCGTGCATCCCAGGGAAGAATTCCACTTAATTATGCAGTACAGTCTTCTTCATATTCTGCAGTCTGCTTGCCAGTAACTTATTGAGCATTTTTGCTTCAATGTTCATTAGGCAGATTGGCTTGAAATTATCTTTCTTATTTGGATTCTTCTCCGGTTTTGGTAAAAGTGTAATTCTTGCTTCCAGGAATGAATTTGGGAGTACCACTTCCAATTCAATTTCATTAAAAAGTTTGAGAAGTAGTGGTGTTAGGTTTTCTCTAAATGTTATGTTTATCCTTGCCATTTCATGGCTACAACTGCTTTCATTCAGGACTTAGTGGACTCTTTCGATAATGGGCTGCAAATATTTTCAGGATTCAGAATCAACCCTCCAGGGATGAATAAATGCCCTGATGTCAGAAAACATTCTGTGCCCAGGCCAGGGTGGCACACAACATAATAGAGAGTGGGAAGGTTGTATGAGATGCAGCAGACTTCATTTTCAAGATTTTCCCTATTATCTGTATTAATTTTCCACCTAGGAACCCAGTATGTGAACACAAAATGAGCAATTACTGTGTAAAGTGAAGACATTATATTTAAATGATAGTAATAGTCTGCAAGAGAGTAAACATGAAAGAAATGCAGACATCAATTCTCCAAGACAAGCTTGCTACTCATTCAGACTTATAAAAATTCTGAATTCTGAAATAAATCATATTGCCAAGCATGGGCAGCACAATTATTGCTGAAATGGAACCAAGTTTCTAATCCAATTAAACATTTCCTTCTGATGGGGCAGGAACACCTGAGAACATCAAACACTAAGTTCCCCTTGCCCTATCATTCTCTTGTCACAAATTATCACTTGCGCTTCAGGATTTTAATATTGCTAGAGGGCACATATTCCCTAAAGCCATGTGATCCATTTGTTAACAACTTGTTTGGCGTCAGAGATGTGTAGAAGGTTTGTATAATCACTTCTATATGTATACATTGCAGCCATGTCATTTGGAACCCATGAACCAAATCTGGTCCCTGAATCCTTCCGCTCCAGCTCCTTCACTCTTCTCTGGCTCCTTGACCTTGTAAAAAAAAGTTACCTTTTCTTTTCACTTCTATTTTCCAAGATATTTCTGTATTGGAAACAGACAAAACCAAACTTCCCTCACAGAAACATTGACATAAACGAATATATTTTTATTAAATTTTGTAGGTCAGATATTTTGTACCTGAATAAAAGGAAAGAAATAATTAAACTAATTCAGCTAGCTGTATGTCCTAAATAATCTTCCAAATGGATCAACTCATTCAACTAATTATGTAAATGAGTTTTTAATCTAGGAATACACAGACAGGTTTTTAGCATGCACCTATTTCAGTTCGACTCCAGCACTTCTTTGCGGATGAAAACCACTAATTTCCTATGTAACCCATTCTCTGCTAAGCAAGCAGAACAGGCCTCTGGTGATGCACTCATAGTTGAAACAAATCAACTGCTAGAAACACCTAGACTCATGTTACATACTACTTAACAAATTGATGGATGCCTACTTTATCATCTACCAATTTCACTTGTAATTACTGACTTAGAAAAATTTATGCAGAATACTTTCAATGATGTGAACAGTTGTACGATCATGCCCTCTGAGAAATCAATATAATACTCCTGAATATGTTAATAAGAGAATATATGTTGATATGTAGCAATATATTGATAAGGTAGCAATATATTTTGTTGATAGGCAGCATAACACTTCCATATACAGGTACAGAAAATTTTACATGAAGTAATCTTTTCAGGAAACTTACAGTTATCCTATCTGAAAGTTAATTTTCTGTTGGGGCCTATGTCTAAATCTTGAGTACCCAAAAAAGTGCACAGCAAAGGACCAAAGGAATGAGACAAGTGGCAATCTCTTGAGGATAGCAGGAAGAGTGAAATCCTCTTCAGAGCTCATAATGCTGCTAGCTGGCCAGCCAACTATCACTAGGTAGCATGTATTTAATCAGAACGAGCAAGGAATTGAGTGGACAATAGGGGAAACCTGAGCAGGCTCCCGGGAGAGTATCAAGGAAGCCTCATTACAACAGATGATGCTAATTAAGGAAAACTATCTAGGAAGTCTCCAAGTGGTCTCAGCAGTGGCCTATCTTATTCCTTGAGATGTCTCCTCATTCTCAATTCAATTAAGGCAAAGCCACACCACAGCCCTGCACATGTATTCAGCTTCAACCCCTTCCAACATCTCTCTCTTTATTTGTTTCATTGTCTCCCAGGATGGGTGGCCAGCTCAAGGTGGGGAAGCTTTGAGGAGAACTCCAATTTAAACTCATCTGAGTTGATCAGTTCATAATAGTATTCAGTTACCAGCATAGACAGCAATTGTCAGAGGATCTTAGTGACCTGAGATTCTCCCACAGCCAACATTTTACATTGCACTGTATCTCCCAAGGCCAGCCTTTTCTGCAGGAGGTTCAAGACCAAGCTAACATGAGATCTGCATTAACTACAATCAGCTCCTTAGTTCCTATAAAGGACACGTAGTTCTTCTCAGGAGTTATCTTAGAACTGTGCATAGCACCTCATGGCTCATCTGTCAGTGTCAGCCACCCAAAGTCTCACAGCCATTGCTGTGACAACTTGCTCTCTGTGAAAGCTTGGGAGATTTTTCTCCTGGTTACTCTCCTTAGGCACACCTTGCACTGAAGATGACTTTCCTCTGTGGTCTCATCATCTTATTAATGATACCACCAGGGACACACTAAGTATCCTAGGCTGATCCAATCAGCAGTTATTTTATACCCTGGGTCTACAC